TAACACTAAAAGCCGACGATCGGATGGGGCAGTTCGTTCAAGACGCTCCAAATCATCAGCCAGAACGCTCTCGTCACCTTCGTGAGCTCAGTTTGGCGATCTCTGGCATGGGAAGCGAGATATTGGTGCGGGACTTGCTGGGGCTGATCGGTAGGGGACTTCGAGAGCTCCGATTAAACTTTTGGGGAGACTACGGGCCAACTCTTAAGCTCGCCGATGTGGCTGCAGTTTGTCCGGAACTTGAAGAGCTCCAGCTCATCGGCTTTGATACTAGCGCCGTGCCCACTCAAGCGCTGTGCGACTGGGGCCTTAAGCAGTTGTCAATTGGCAAGAGCAACTTCTTGAACGGTCTACCGGAGTGTTTGGAAGCGGATGTCCCGCGAGTTGCTGAAGATAAATGACTGTTATGGCTACAGGGTGTCCGCGGCCATTGAGGCTCTGAAAGCGCTCGACAAGGAGCCCCTCTCACTTGTAAAGGAAATGTTCCCACTACCCTCAAAGACGGTGATGATAAGTGCAGTGATGAGCGGTGACGCAGTAAATGGCCAGCCCAAGGCGCTTCACCGTCTCGACTCCGTCCTTCTGGGTTTGAATTTCCGGTTTGCAGCGACGCCCAAGCAGCGGACAGTTGAAGTGCGAGGCACGTGGTAACTAGTTCTCCTTACATTTCCTATATCATTTACGATTTGGCAGCTTGAAGCGTCGTCTAAACTGAACAAAGGACCCTTGACTTGGCCATGCCAGAGGATATTGTTGTGAATGAGGGACTGGAGGCCCTGGCAACGAGTCTACAGAGCGAGCGCAAGTGGCGGAATGTCCAAACCGTGTTGCCCGAGTCTTTCGGTCTGGTGGCGCGTGTGCTGGAAGATCAGGCTCGGTTGATTCACAAGCTTCAGCTTCGCATCGACAACTTGGAGCGTGCTCAGGCGACGGCTGTTAGTTCAGATCTTGCCATGGCATTGGAGGAGCGCGTCCGTGTAGATGCGAAGCGTCGAACGGCCAGGCTGCGCAAAGAGGTTGGTGGTCTCCTCTCATGATGTGCATTCATCGAGAGACAGTTGATAAATCGTATTGACAGCTCTCTGTGGGCTTGGAGCAGCAACAAACAGCGCTACAAAGTGCCAAAGAGGAGTTCACAGCCAAAACTCAGCACCAGGAAGAAGTGAATACAAAGGTATGGATGCACGCTGAGTACAATCTGCTCAAAAACTGACACGTTCTTTTAGAAATGTTTGCTGGTTGAGCAAAGCTTGGAGCAGCTACGATGCAAGACGGAGGAGCGCATGGCTCAGTTGACAGACAGCATGCAGGACCAGCTAAAGAGTCTGGAGTTGCAATTCAAGTCTTCGCATATTCAGGATACAGAAACGTTCGCAAAGCTGCGGCAAGATATGGCCCAGAAGGTGGAGAGCTTGGAATGCAAGCTAATGGAGAGTGAAAGGATACGAGAAGCTGCTGCTGCTGTTCCAGTCGTCAAGGAGGTAGCTCTTTCGCCAGAATTGCAGGAAAGGGAGGAGGTGAGTGATACGAGTCGTGGCTCCGGCTGAAGACGGACTGCTAATTGAGCCTGGATGCGGTGCTTTGTTAGGATGCGATACGAGAAGATCTAGCACGTATCTCCCAAGACGTCGAAGAAATGGAGGCTCGGATGCAGAAGGAGATTGCTGGATGTAGACAAGAATTGCTGCTGGCCATCGGCAAGAAGCTCTGCAAGAGCGACATCACAAAGCTGCTAACTCGGAAGATGGATGCGAGTACGCCTGTCAGCTGCGTCTGAGCGCTGCAGAATATGCCACGCACTAACAATTGCTACCCTACAGTGGATGCGTGGAAGCAGCTCGCAGAGAAGGCCGACAGCGCTCGAGTCGAAGAGGTCGCCTGTGCTTTAATCGACAATATTCAGCGATCTCAAGAAACCATAATGGACGACGTTGGCCAGTTGCGACAGCTCAACGAGGCCAAGGCCGATGCGTTGGAGCTTGTGCAGGTCAAGCACAACATGGTAAGTCAGAAGGGCTGCCAGTATAATGTTGTGGTTGGTGTCTAACAGCATTGTATACTTCGCCAGCACAATTTGTTGTCACTCGCCGAGTCCATTCAGCATGAGTTAAGCGCGTTGCAGCGGATCGTGAACGAGAAGATGTCTGTTGCAGACGTTAAGGATCTCCTAGACTCGCAGTCGACCCTGAACGGTTTGCAGAACGCCATGAAGCAAGTGGAAAGCGTAGCAGCTGGCGAGTTTGCAACGAAACCTCAAGTCGAGAGCATCAACCGACAGTTGCAAGCCATTACGCGGCAGCTACGCAGCGAAATCTACCAAGCTCGCTATGTAAGTATTGCTACTATCTATCCCTACAAAAGAATGCAGGCTGATTAAGTGGTGCTTCCTCTGTTGTAGATCTGGAAGGATGGCCCTCCCAGCGCAAAGCAAACGATTCAATGGAGCTCTCAAGTGGTGAACACGAATGCGGACATTTTCTTGTGGCAGTTTGGGTCCGACGAGGTGAGGTTGCTGCTGCCAGGGCTTTATCATCTCCAGGCAGCATTCTTCACCAACTACTCCCCAGCTATCCAAGTGCTCGTGAACGGTGAACCAGCCGCTCTATTGCGCTCGTCGACCGATACGAAAGAGGCGACTTGCTCTCCATCATCCATCCATCCAGCAATTCGGCGTCTGCATCACAGTGCTGGCAACGTGGCGGGCCTGGCGATTGATTTGTTCCTGGCACTGCCAGCACGAGCCCTTGTTGTCATCTCGTACGACCTTGATGAGAAGGCACAGGGATTTTTGAACCTGCGGAAGCTCTAGCTAAAGAGAAAGAGAAACAACGCGTCTTGTGCGATACAGGTTATCTGTTTTTACTATTCATTAGGGCACTAGAATACTGAGGGGGAGGGAGGTCAGGAGGTTCGTGACCTCATCACACGACGGCTGGTGACTGCATTTGCGACGGAGAGGCTCGCCTTGTTGAGGAAGGGGCTTTCGAGATGCGATCTCGTGACACAAACTGTCGTTCTTGTCGAGCTTCTGGCCGCAGATAGGAAGGCGGAAGCGATGCTCTTCTTTTCTGAGGGCGCTGGTTTGTAGTGCGTCGGCCTGTGAGACTGTCGTTCTTGGGGGTAAGTTTGGGAGGTCGTGCAATCTTGCTGGTGGATGGTTCTGCTGTCGGTGTCTCCTCTTCGAACTCGTTGTGCAAACGCTTCAACATTCGATCAGACACCTCGAACTTTGCTGATTGCGTGAGGACGTATCCCGCGTCCATGAGTCGAGGCTACAAAGACAAAGTATATTGCAAGATAATAGACATTAACGATGGTGATACACGTGCATGAGATGGAAATCCTGCAAGGACTCACCGCATACTCCTGGATGTCGTAAAACAGGCGAGGGATCTCGTCAAAAGAGCTGGCAAGAATGGGTCTCTGCAGCTCCTCCAAGATCACAAGAGCGGTGCGGAGGATATGGTTCCATCCCTTGAAAATAAATCCCTCGAACACTTGTATAACGACGTCGTAGGACAGCGCCTCCATGTTGGTGAAAAGAGTCATAAACCACCTGTAAATACAGCAACATCAGCGTTAGCGCAAAAATAGTCGGGCACCTGTATCGTATATGCTCAAGCCTACCCTGTTGCAACGATGCTGATTGGGAAGTCGATAGCCTGAAAGTGCTCGGATAGCAGAGGTAGATGCATTCGTAGAAGGCGGTCCAGCTAAACATCACGACACGTTAGTACAATTCTAGCCCGAGAAAGTAGTTCTTAACCTTCTTACCTGGAAGCAGCGGAGAGTTAGATGCGGCAGTCCTGGCCCATACAGTCTCTCAAGCTCGAACCGTGGGGATGCAAGGAGGCTAACAAGCAACCAGAATGCACGCGCTTCGTTCCAGTCACTCACAGCCAGCATCAACGCCGCGACGTGATCCATCCCCTGGCAGTACCCGACTTCGGTATCCACGCTAGCACAAGCCCGAAGCACATTCTGCAGCGCTGCTTGCCGTCTCTCGAGTGGAATTGCGACGCCGTTCGAATGGCATATAGCACGTGAAGTAGGGTCTATGCTCTTGCGGTGCTGCCGCCGCGCGGATATCCCGAATGTTCTCGTGACATCGAGGCGAATCTGTTCATCCCATTCCGACGCTGGCCCCGTTTCGCACTGTGTACAGATGAGCTCGTACACCTTCTCAAGCTCCAAAGAAGTCGGTACCGAATTGGACGCTGGGCTAGCATTAGCTGTAGTCTGCACAGGCTGTTCCCACAACGGACGTGACGTGGCCACGGGTGCCTCATTCGCGTCCGAGTCTTCAGTATCTGACCCTGACGAAGCATCTAGCCTGGCACGCACAGCTTCAGCCAAGTCTGTGACAAAAGTCCGCGTCCGATTATCTTTCAGACACTCCGTCTGCCACAGCATGGCAATACTTTGGTCCGATGCAGCCGAGTTGTCAACGGAGCTGCTACTTCGAGAGCGTAAACGGCTGTAGAGCTCATCCGGAACAACTTGCAGCGCCTCCCGATCGGTTTGCGTGAGGAAACTGTCCGTGTGGCGAATCATGGCGCTCCATCCGTTGTCTTCATGATCAGGCGATGGCGACCTGTTGTTCGTCGACTTTTGAGTGTTCACAGCATCTCGCAACGCCGCGATTGTTGCGTTCATCTTGTCGAGCACCCGATGAGCACGACATTGCGCCATCTTGAAGCTCATCGTTAGTTGCCGATGAGCCAGAGCGAGCTGGTTTGAGGCTTCCACCGAGGTTTGCGTTGGTGCGAATCGGTGCGCTGCTGGCGGCGTTCGCAGCTCCATTGACGCGGAGCCTATGGGGGATCCGCCGTGCTGCTTCTGAATAGCCTCATCGAGAGCCTGTACGTCGCAGCCCGCGTCAATCGCCAGCGCGCGCAATTTCTGTTCCTCCTGCTGCTTGGCCGCAAGTGTCTGCTTCGCTGTAGACAGCACCGCGCGAATCCTCTGCTCGAGTTCCTGGTTCTCGCGGCTGATTTTCCTCGCTTCTCGAAGCTGCTGGGCACGGTACTCCGCCTGATAGCACGGCGTGCACACGCGCTGCGCGCGCAGCGGCGCGCCTGGACACAAGGCGACCTCCAGGATCTGTCCGCAGCAGCCCGCGCAGAATATCGAGAAGCACAACCGACAGTGGTGACGACGTTCGCGTACGGAGAAGGCGACGAAGCACAGCGGACAGTTCGTCGCCGTCGCATCGTCCTCCCAGAAGCGGTCCGTGCTGGCAACGGGGTGGTCCGGCAGGCTCTCGTCCCACCCAGGCAGCATCTTGTCCACCGTAGCCACGTACTCCGCCATGGCGGCCTCCCGCTCGTCCGTGTCGCCCTCCGTTCCGCTGCACGCATCCCACTGACGCCTGTCAAAGCACAAAACTCACAGTAGATAAGCCTCCACCTCCAAGCTCCCGCCACAAAACCCGCACTGACATGATTACCCCCGGTCCGAACAACCCCCCGCAGACTGTGAAGAGCCCGAAAATGCCCGACGCGTGCGTCGTGTGGTTGACCACGTGCGACTCGTCCTTGGCGCGTCGACTGTCCTCCGCTGGCCCCTGCGCAACGCCCGCTTCAGTCTTCAACCCGCAGCCTCAGGAAGGATAAGCTTATTATTATTGTGCGTACTCTACCTGCTCCACGAAGCACCGGATGCCCAGCAGCCGCGGCTCGTGCTCCTTCAGCGTGCGGATCACGAACGGGTCCACCGCCCGCTCCGACCCATTGTGGAACTTGTTCAGCACGGACCCCACCAGCGCGTTGGCGCGCGCATACCGCGCGGCCACGGAGCCCCGGCCTCTGCCCTTCGTGCCGGTCATGAACCTGAGTTCTGCACCGGAAGCTGCTACTTAGATCGAGTGGCCATGAAAGGACGCGCCACATGTGACAAGGCGACGCTTCAAGTCATCCCGTAAGTTTTTATGTGGCAACGTGCTTGCTTTTTCAGGAATTTGTATACAGGAATTGATATATTGCGATCACGTCTAATCGGATAGTAAATTGGTCGAGGTCTTGGCTAATTTAGACTCCAAAGTCTTATTTATTTCGACTGATCTCCTAATTAGATTCCCCACCTCTATTTTAGACTAGGAATTATCAGGGCGATTAGCAAATGCTAATAACGGATAGCGCCAATTTGTGTACCGTATACTATTGAATTGAGCACTTATCAATTTTAGGAAGGTATACTACCAGATTGTCACGATATTATCGACTACAAACACATAGAGCGCGAAAACGGGTAACGATCTGCCAACTTTGTGGAGATCAAGCTGCAGTAAGCCGTGTGACCTGCGTGCAACGCAGTCATCTGGATGAAGTTAAAGATGTAGGAAGCGATGTGCTTGAAGTTAGATATTGAAGTTGCAGGCACCAAGGACTATAATTGCTTAGGAGGAATAGGACGAAGGTGCTAAACTCAATCTCAGTTTCGATTTTCCAGCGTACTCAACACAGCATCTTGACTCCCGATGCCGCCGTACTTCCTCTCTAAGTGCTACCATATCACTTATCACTCGTTTTAAAAATTGTGACATAGTAGAAATTGCGAATCCTACGCTACCGTGGAGGGGGTCGAGATGCTGAACTACTGGTCGGCGAGGCGCTGGCGGAACTCAACTAAACCGACCGGGACAAACAAACAACAGCGACTGTCTCGACGAGGAGCAGACGTAACAAACAAGTGCGGACGCCAACGAGAGAAACCAACAACAGCAACTGTGTCGACGAGGAGCAGACGCAACAAAACGATCAAACCGCCACGCGGAGAGCCCAGACAGCAGAGGCCAAGGCCAAAAACGAGCAGACCGTCACACGGAGAGCCTAGACGCAAGACATGTGTACCGTAAGGTATGCTGCTACGCAGCCGGCACAGGATTAAATCGGTGTCGCATGAAGCCGTGCGTGTATCGCACCTGTTTAAGTATCCCTCATATATTGAAATTTTATGAAACTTAATAGGTCATCTAAATAATCATCTAGTCGGTCTCAATCGGTGAGGAAGCATCAATCATTTTTTTTTTCATTTCAAGGTTGAGGTTAGATTGAGTTCATTTATCCTAACTAAGATAACGACCGACGCATCCACCGTCAACATCGAGCTCATATCTCCCGATGCCCCGCCGAATAGTTGAAACGGTCTACTCGACTTCCGTCGATTTGGTACCGCGGATAGCGAACGTGGTCCCGCTGCTCCTTCAGCAGCGCCTGCCCTCCGAAGCTTGAGTTCTGCATTTTCCTGGGCCGACTTGCGTTCCTTCTTCCCAATGCGTTGCAGGCCACCAGCGAGCGCCCCAGCAGCGCTTTATGCGGCGACGTGTCGTCACCTTCCCTGAGTCAGCCGTATCTGGGTCTCTACCACTGCGACTTTCTTCGCCCCGCCGCGCCATGAGTGCACCATGAGAGGACCACCCCGTCGCAGCCAACTCCATGTAGCGCAGGCCACGTTGACTGACAGCATGCTCCTGCGCGTCACTACGAGTGCTGTGGAGGGTGTGCGCACGTTGGAGTCCCGCACACCCGACGATCTGGTGACCTGCCAGTATCGCACGCAACCTTTGTAGGCTATGACTACCAGGAGGACCCACGGCGTCTGGTTTGTAATGGGAAACGGCGCGATGGGCTACATGTAGACCACCGTGGACCACCCACAGGCCCCGCCTTCCGGCTGACGGTCAAAAGACCGCCGCAATACGCCGCCGCACGCAGCGGCGCAGACATTCACAGCCGGTCCACGGTGTCATCCGTGAGCTGCCGAGGAAGCATCAATCGCATCATCAAGTTTCATTCGAACCATTTCCCATTCTCTCAATCCGAAGACGCAACACCAGGACGAAGCTACAGCACGAAGGTAAGTGCTTGGTAGGGCGCTGTTGCAGCTAATAGCTTGCTTGTATTTGATTATTAACAGCGCGGAGGTAAGAAAGTAAATTGATATTATCGCAAGTGGGTTATTGCACTAAGAAGCTGCTTATCTGGTAGTTGTGGATGTTCATAATATAATACGCACAGCGCGGACGACTGGTGCGCCGCAAGTGCGGCGCAAAGCAAATCTAAAGGCTGCACTAGGGCTTCGCGGGGGCTGAGATAGCGAAAATAAAACAGAACAGATATACGCACAGCGCGGACGACTGGTAAAATAAAACAGAACAGATATACGCACAGCGCGGACGACTGGTGCGTGTTTTATTTTCGCTATCTCAGCCCCCGCGAAGCCCTAGTGCAGCCTTTA